TCTTTGAAATTGGTTTTAAGTTTCCACTGTTAAATTAGAAGTCATTTGCAGGAAGTGTTACCCAAATTATTTTTTTTGTGAGAAAATAAACAGAAGTAATCATGCAGATTTTGAGTATAGAAACTCTTTTACCTTAGACTTGTGACCCCAAACTTAATGATAAAATGGAGAAAATATAATTATAAGTGTTCCAGGAAAGCCAGAACAAGGCAGACAGATGTCCCCACATGGGTTGCTTAGCAGTGTGCCTTATTTTAGTAGTAAATAGCTTTTTTTCTTAATATCTGCAGAGCATTAAGTTTTTGCCAACTGAATGCTTCATTACTGTTAGCCATTGATATATAAAACAATATTATTATTCATTTCCTTTAATTTGAAACTAGGGGAGGGGCTGTAAAAATGAAAAAAAAAGAGTTCTTATGATATATAAAATATAGTTTGTAAAAAGATTCTGGAGCCTCAATGACTGTGTTTGGTTTGCTATTTTTATCATATAATCACAATACCTGATGTATATGTTTTATTGTGCATAATTATGCACATGGTAATTTCTCATTACAGAACACGACTCTGGAATGACTGATGGAAGGTTAGTTAGAACTAGTGGTAAATCAGAATTTTAGAACCCTTTTAAAGAGATGAATTTATTACTTCCAACGACACTTATAATAAATTGGTTGTGTGTGTGGTTTCCCCTAATAAATTGTGTGTTCTTGAAGAAGGGTAATCCAGCGCACAGCCTCATGTCTAGAATAGAGGCAATGCTCAATAAATGTTTGATTGAATAATGAACTATATGATGACTAAAAAAATATTCCCTTTAACAAATATATAAGAACAGTTTTTAAAAGGTGCAACCTTGTTAAAGTATCTCCTTTACAACTTTATGTTCGCATATTGCATTACACTTTTCAAAATAAATTCACACGTCTCACTATGTTTAATCCTCATCATGAACCCTCATTTCAAAAAGGCCTTATTATTTTTATTTTGCAGTTAAGGAACTGAAGCAATCAGAAGCAAAATGACTGGTCGATGATAACAAACTAGTCACATCACAGCTAAAATCCATGTCTTTTAGCTTATTTCTACATGACATTTTTTTTCCTATTCATAAACACTCTTTAATTCCTACATGTAAGCCTGTGACATGATTCTGTTTTGCTTCTACTGCCCATTCCTTTTATATGATATTTTCTCAACCTTTTGTTTATTCTTACTTTCTATTCTAAATTCCTGGACACACTTTGGAGTTAAGCAGAAATTAGAAGTGAATAATTTCCCGTGCTCTCTCTGCTGTAAGACAGAGTATACTGCGGAGACAAATGGAAGAATATGGTAGCTTCTCCTTCAGGGAATATGGTGGACTAGTTGTCCTCCTAGTACAAAAAGAATGGGCTACGCTTTGTGGCAGGCAGAAGATAAAACCTAGGGCCTAGGGGCGCCTGGGTGGCGCAGTCGGTTAAGCGTCCGA